CGAAATAGCAAGCGAGAAGAATGCTTTTATTACATACACTTGTCTTACGAGAGAAGGGCTCTAACTGATCAATTGCTTTTGAGTCAGAACTATGTGTACCACGTAGGCTCTAGTGAGCTATGAATAGTTTGAAATGAGTTCGGGCTGCTAGCTTATTGTTATCAAGATATTGCATGTTTACTGCATTGTTTTATTACAGTACCGTGGTCCCCCTCACAAACACTAAAAAACTAAGTTTTGAATTTCGAATTTCAACTTGAAACTTTACATAGAAATAGGCCTCAGCGTGAGTAGTTTGTTGTGAAAGTTACAGATCTTTTGGTTGTTTCTATCCTAAGATACAGCTATGATACACACATGGTCTGTATCTCGCTCGTATGCACAGACGGCTTCCGATGTTCATATTTCAGGACAGAAACAACCAAAAGATTTGCAACTTTCACAACAAACTACTCTCAATGAGATCTATTTCTTTGCAAAGTTTCAAGTCGAAATTTGAAACTTAATGTTTTGGTGTTTCTGAGGGGGAACCGCGGTATTGTAATAAAACAATGCAGTAAACATGTAACGTCTTGACAGCAATAAGCTAGCAGCCCGAACTCTTTTCAAACTATTCATAGCTCACTAGAGCCTACGTGATGCACATAGTTCTGACTCAAAAGCGATTGATCAGTTGCGGTCCTTCTCTCGTTAGTCGTTTTGTGGAGCTTGCTAAGTCATACTGATTCTGAAAAAAGGCTCCGGTTTTGAATTGTAGAGCGAATATCAATGGTATACCAGGACCACTATAAGATATTTTTGCGCACATTGGGGACGGTATGTATTAGACAATATATTGAAGACAGATTTTTTTGCACATACTTATCTTAGCCATTTCGTAGATCTTGCTAAATCATATTGATGCTGAAAAAATGGCTCCGGTTCTGAATTGTAGAGCGAAGATCGATGGTTCACAATATTCAGGTTATAGCCTATACATGGTCGAAGGCTGGTGGTATTCTAAACTTTTAGTAAGCGGTGCTTCAATTTTATTTAAAAGTATTTATATAGTTTTGTGCCGAATTAAATTCTCTATCAAACGGTGTATCAACAACTTATCAAATCATTTACATAGTATTTCGAAAAATGAGGTATTCTTTGACCCTCAAATGTCCCAATATAGAGTATTTGGCTGAGTACGAAAGCAAGGGAAAAGTTTGACCGAACAAGCTGAAACTTATAAAAATGACTAGTAACTCCGAGTTCTACAATTGGTGAAAGTTTCATGAGAAAGTACCTTTGCTTTTTAATTGGGCCAAAATCGCCCCAAAAAGTCGTCCGTTCTTTTCTAATAATACTTCAGATGCTTTTCCTGGATAAACTTTTTGATAACAATCGTCATCCAATGTTCCTTGAATCATTTTATCTAGGAATGAAAGAAAAGAAAAAAGATGTTATCTTTGATTGTAATACATTCTTCTACACGTCTTAAAACTTACCATAGCTTTCGTAATCTCCGTCGCTTTTAATACTAATTTCCCAGAATGTCGTAGGTGCCATTTGCTATGATTAAATAATAAAATAAACTAATTGATGACGACGATAATTTTAGTTCAAAAAACGTTTTAGAAAAGAGCGATGAGAGAAAGAGACACTTCAAAGAAGTATTGCTATATCTGAAATTGAAAAATAAAGAAAGAGACAAATAGAGCAAGAGAGAAATACAATTCAAAAATAGATATGTTTTTCATCATCGTGATTATCATCGCTGTCATCTTTCTTTCTTCTTTTATTCTTCTTTCTTTGTTTACGCTATTTATCATATTTTACACCGACTAATGCTGAAAGTGATGTAAGACACTCATCAAGTTCAAATTCATCATCTGCAAATTTTCGATTTAATTCAATAAGTTTTTGATTTATTTCAATAACACCATCGCAAACAGTTTTATTAACTGATTTTGTTTTTCCATTTAACAATTGAAAATGTTTCATACGTACAACAGTTTCTTCTGTAATCAAAAGTTCTATCTATGTCCAAATGGATAAATAACTTTGCTGTGCTCGTCGTTGTAGTACTGCGTTGTAACCTAAAGTAGTAGCAAAAAAAATATTCTTTAAGTAAAGACCATAACTGTTTCCTGTCATTCTCGACTCTTTGGGTTCAAAAGAAACTCAAAGAACCACTTAAACTCTGAGTCTCTCACTGCTACTTATCTTCCTAGCTATTCTTTTTCTCAAGTGAAACTTACTTTCAGACCATTTGTTCGTTTTGAAAGCGACATCATAAAAACTAATCCTTGTTCGAATTTCTGAGTTCATCCATTGTTTCTGAAAGTAACGCATAAATTTTGTCAATTGAACAATAAATTGCTTTAATTTCTTCAATTTCAAATATTGTTTGACTAATAATTCATAAGCATTATCCATTAGTGTTGGTTTAAGTAATACGATGGCCATAACTTTTTTGATAAATAAATGTAATTCATCATTTTTCTAGTAATAAGCCCATAAACCAAATTTTTTCAATTTCTTTGTTAAACATTGATACAAATAAAATAAACAACCCTGTTGAGGTGTATTTGGCAGCTGAAATGGAAAAAAACAAAGAAACAAAATACATGTAATAAATCTTCTGTTCCTATCGGCTTTTTTAAAGACAATTCGTAATGAATTTCTTAACACACGAACAAACACTTCTCTTTTTTTACCGTCGAAATCATTACACTTTCAAAATCGCTTATTATTTTGTCCGGTTCAAATTGCATTTTCCTTTCTTTTGCTTTGCGTTTCAATGCTCGAAATAGTAATGTATAAGTATGAGCCTCTTTGTCGTTCAGAAGAGTATAGAATACAGGCGTTGCTACAAGTAAAAAGACAAAAACAAACAAAGAAAAGAATTATTCGACTCAACTAAAGGAAGAATGAAACTTCTAGAGAGAAAAACAAGCAAATAAATATTTTCTTACCATCGTCATTTTTTTTATCGATGTTTTGAATAATTAATAATTGTTTGTGTTTTCTTGGGCAGATTGAAAATGTTCCATCGATACATATTAATTTGAAACTGAACAATTCTTTTAGTTGCATTGGACTCGCAAAAGCTATGACTCTCTTGGTTTGTTTAGAATATAGATGATAAAAAAATATGAATTTTTCATCCGACGATGTAGTTGAAAATGCAGCTTGAATGTCAAAGTTTACAGATTTTGGAAGAGATGGAATTGTTTCACTTCTAGCACGATAAATAGTTTGATCTAAATGGAAAAAAGAGAAGTGACATTAAAATAAGACAAGAATAGATGATTTAATAACTTACATAATGCATGTCGACGTGGAATCATAACCAGTTGTGTTTCAGTTAATTCCATAGAAGTTACTAATTGATCAATTATCTTTGATGAAGGTAGAGTTCGATTATTTCTCTCAATATTTTTAAGTTGTGATTTAAAAATTGCAACTTTTTGTTGATCGTTTTCTTCGTCATGTGAATGATGAACATTATTTGATTCCATATATTTATAAGCTGGCACTTGATTAGTTCCCACATTTCCAGTTGTATAAATTTTTGTTCTACATCTTATTTTATTTCTGCTCTGTTTCCATTTCCATTTTATTTTATGTTTTATTCGTTGATCAATTTGATATATGTAGGCGTGAAGACAGAGAAAATCACCATCTTTGGTAAATACTTTTATAAACTGAAATAGGTCCAGTTTGAGGAAGACGGTTTGATTGTTGACAGGGAGAGATGCTGGCCGGCGAGAAAGAATTATTATTATTACTAATTTTCATTTTATTCATACTTTTGATTACTGATGAGGTCGTTGTGGATGCTGATGTGCTAGAGTCTGATGATGACGATGATATAGTACTTGAAGTAGATGAAGAACGAGAGGCGTTAATAGACGATGTAGATGAAGAATCAGATGATGAAGAACGTACATATGCAGTTGTTTTAGAATGACTAAAACTATAGAAAAGAGAAAGACAGAATCGTTTCGGCTCTTTCCTATCAGAAAAGAGTGAAAGAAAGTACAGGAGAATACTTACGTAAATGATGTTGTATTACTGACATTATTATTGCTTAAGGGGGGCCCCCCCTCAGAAACGAACTTTGTTATTTTTCGTCCGATTTCACCCAAATTTTTGGAGGATATTAGTCTAGGATAGGATAGATTATGAGTGAAATATCTCCCCCAAATTTCCAATGAACTAATGAGTTATAGTCAA